GTCCCTGCTGTTCAGTACCATGAGGATCAGTCACTGGTCTGGGTTGTGCCAGTACCATGAAGGCCACTTCTGGTAAGATATTGAATTCTCTGAGACCACGGATGCTGATACGGTGTTCTCCTATTGTGCCCGCGATGCCCCTGCTTTTCACTGGGTTATGGCAATGTGCATATTTGGGGCATGGCCTTTAAGTACTTTCCAGGTATATAGTATGCACTCAGTGAACACATATTTAGGGCATTAAGGCATCCCCAGTAACTTAAATGTTTTATTGGTTCTATTGGGCCGTTAATAATCTCTGTATCTGTTCTAGCTCTGATATTTCTCCTGCTCTGAACAGGTCCGTCAACACTCAACAATATTCCAAATGAGAGATCACACGTGATTTGAATAGTGTCATTATTGGTGCTATTTCCCTTGTTTTGAAAGTTCTCATTATCTACCCCGTCATCTTCCTGACTATCATAACATTTACCTTATTGTGTTCTTTGAAAGAAAGGTCAGCTGACATAATTACCTGCAGCACCTCGTAGTACACGTAGGGGAGAGTGAAGCAAGCCTGAGACATCATGCTAGGTGTGGGGAATAGTGAAGAAGCCGATTATTGATCATGATAAGATGTTATTATAATGTGTCAGCCTCCACGGCTGGCTGACCCACCTCCCACCCTGCCTTCCCCTCCATTGTTTTCACCTCCATTACCCAGACGTAAACATATTGTGCAGAAAGGAAGGGGGAGGTAGGGAGAGAAGGAGGAGGAGGGAAGGGGAGAAGGAGGGAGGTAGGGTAAGAGAGGAAAACTTTTTAATGGTCTTACTCTGTATATTTCCACTCTTCCAGAACTCTGGCATACTCTTTGCCCTCGCAGGCCTCTGATCAGGCATATTACACCTTTAGCATACCCAGCCCTGCAGCGCTGTATGACCTTTGTGGGTTTAGCATTTAGGTATGATTATAATAACATACGTATTCTTCCAGTTGTGTGTGCAGGATACCTGAAAAAATACCCGTAGGATGTTTTAGGGGTCCGTGGCCCGGTCCCCAGACCAGACCTCCAGGTGGATGGCCTGAGACAGGGTCAACCAGGCTGTTTGTGCTAACCGCACCAATTCTGACATAAGCCCCACAGTCTGGTTTATAAGGCACTGGCTTGAAAAATTGGTAATCCTCGTATTTAAGAAAGGAGGACGTTGCAAAGTCTTGGCTCCTTCACACTTGTTAAGTTTTTTCTTAGTGTACTCCTGGCACTCCTGCTTTTCATTGGAGGTGTTTTTGCACCTTCCGCCAAACCTCTTACCTTCACGGGGAATGACCTGCGTGCGCAGATTTAGGACCAGTCCGTCTAGAATTTTACTGATGTAGACTAGAATGTGTCTCTCGCCTACGTTCCAAGGAGTACAGATCGAGGGACTTGAAACATTACCAGTAATTCAGGTGCTTGACTAAATCTGTGCGGGTAGTGAAGGTTTTTCTGTACATTCTCCAGGGCTGTAATTTCGCCTGCCTTGAGTGCAGCAGTGTTCCAGCCAAGGGAGAACAAGGGACTTGAAAATTATTATAAATGACTTGGTATTCCTTGTTTACAAGGTTCTAGTTATCCAGCCTTTATTCTTCTTGCGGTTGTGGTAGTGACACTTGTGATCCTGAAGTTGAGATCTGACATGATCACTCTAAGGTCTCTATCATTAGTCTTACGCTCTGTTGAGTTTTTTTTTATTTATACTCGGTTCATGTCATTATTTCCTCAATCTTCCATAACTGCGTAACTGAAACTTGTCTTCACTAAATATCATATTATTGTCAGTGGCCCACTGGGAGACTTTGTTTATATCAGCTTGGAGGTTTGCCCTGTCCTCAGTGAATGTTACTCTGATACAGATTCTAATATCGTCTGCAAAATATAATACAGTGTTGTGATTCATAGCTCTGACTGTCGGATATGAGAATGAAAAAAGAGAACAGGGGCCAATACTGTGCCTTAGGTAATAGCTTTTCGTTATGGCAGCCTCCAATATCACTCTTTTCACTATTACACTGTGGGTTTTACCCACTTTTCCAGTTATTCATTTTGCACACATTTTATGAGCTATTACACCATGGTTACATCTGCATTTTGCTTATCTTTCACTTCGTCTAAGACCATGTCGTAATGGTCCAGCAATTGTGAGAGGCGGGAGCGACATGCTTTAAGCCCATGCTGCCCTGGGTTCTGTAATTAAGATTCTCTGTAATTAGCTTCTTAAGACTCAAAAATTTTGATAATGTGGGACGTCAGAGCTGTCGGTCTGTAGTTTCCTTTGCGATTGCTTTGTGGACTGGGGCTATATCTATTTTTTTTTAAGGACTGGGGGTTGATTCCTGTGTCCAGGGTGTTCCTCCACAGAATATTCAAGGCACGAGATAGTAATTTCTTGCAGTTTTTATGAATTTGGAGCTCCACGAGTCGGCCTGGGGCAGAGTGCAGCTGCATGCAGTCGATGGCTTTCTTTAAGTCTGAGTTATGTCACAACCACCACCACTCGCTACGCCACAACTACCACCACTCGCTACGCCACAACTACCACCACTCGCTACGCCACAACTACCACCACTCGCTACGCCACAACTACCACTACCCCCACTCGCTACGCCACAACTACCACTACCACCACTCGCTACGCCACAACTACCACTCGCTACGCCACAACTACCACTACCACTCGTTACGCCCCTACTACCACTACCACTCGTTACGCCACTACTGCCACCACCACCCTCCCATAAACGAAAGGAAATGGAAGCGTGGTGGAGCAGATTTCTGCCCCATGTTACCGCTTAACCCCCCCACCCCCACACACACAGGGAAGAGGCGGGGCCAGGAGCTGTGAATCGACCCCTACAGCAGTAAATAGGTGAGCGCACACACGCAAGCAAAGGTTCCTGTCATCACTTCTTGGCTTTCCTCACTCCTGTTTGGGGTTATTGCTTTATTTAGGTATTGTAATAATAATGATACAATTATGATGACAGTAATGGTTTTTCAGGTTGGGTGAATGCGTGTACGTGTATGGCAGCAACAGTGAATGACACAGCACCTGCAGTAGTGCCGTGGTTGTTTGGTTTATGGACTTTTAAGACTGCATATGTAACCTTTTCATCATCAGTCAAGCATACTTTAAATCCCTAAAATAAGGATTAAAGCCAGCACATATACGCTGAGAAACATACGGCTCTCTGTGCATGTATCCTGGGTGGCGCTATGATTTAACCTCGTAATTTAAGGCGGGTGTCAGGCGCCGCCCACCAGGTGCTGGCTTCGAATTTACTCCGAATTTACGCTAATATGGCCGAAAGAAAATGACTTTCATCGGTATATTTTTTAGATAATTCTCACAAGACTCGTTCAGGATATTCTGAGCTCACAGTAATTATCAAGTTAATAGCATCTATTAGGCCTGTCATTAAAATTTTCCATATTTCATGTGGGATTATTCAATACATGAACCATGTGATTTAGTTCGAAGCATTGTGGAAAATATTAATCTGGTGTGTGCACTTTAAAGGATGTTGATGGTTGGAAATACATAAGAGATATCATATACCAACCACAGTTGTTGTCCACACTTGTGTTATAACACTTGTATTATGTTATTAAATGGTGGTTTGGTTAGTGATGTGAATGAGAGAGGGAGGGAGAGAGAGAGAGAGAGAGAGAGGAAGAGAGAGAGGGAGGGAGAGAGAGAGAGTGGTGTTGCAGGTTGCAGCTCTGGCACTGATTATCAATAATTGGCAGCATCACTGCAACACAAGCCTTGCCATACCTCGCTGCAATATAAATTATAATCCTTCTCTTGCTCTCTGATAATTTGTTTTAGCTGATAATATCTTTTTAACTTGTCGATGATTGCTTCCAGAATGAGGGAGAGTAAGTATGTGGAACGTTTCCAAGAGAAATAAAATGTGGAAAATGCAATAGATGTTTTTGTCAGTGGTTGTGTTGTGGCTGGTGGTGTTACCATGGTGACGAGCGAGGAGGACGCTCATTGGTCGCTCCATATTTGTCCTCTCGTGATTGGCCGCCTTCGAGGGAGGTGCCTGCAAGTTGGTGAAAAGCTCCTGATCTGGAGAATTGGAGGCACCCTCCCCTTCCTCGGATCAAACCCAGTTTCCTCTCATTCTCCGTATGCTATATACCTCCTAAGAATAATGAGTATTTCCTTGTTATTATAATAATGAAGGTGATTGTGGTGGTTGGCGGCAACAACCACGAGGACGCGACTTTGACTCTTATGACATCAATGGTTGGCGGGTGTACGCGGCTCACACCACTCTTAACTCATATATTTTGTTAGAAATATTCACTATGGTTTCACTATAGATTGTTTACTGTGAGCTGGCATTATACTTAAAGAAGATATGTTAAGAAGAGCAGAAGATAAGAAGTCATCTTAGTGTTATTAGTGTTAATATAAGTCAGTGTGGCCTCCCTCCCTCCCTCCTGGGGACAACTTCCTCTTATTTCCCCAGTGACCAAGGATTTATTTTTTTCTAATTACAACGTATGATTTCACTGCGTTTTCAGAGTTGTTAGTTTTGAAGATTGGATTATTTGGCGAGATCAAGCATTAATAGTAGCATTTAAACTTAAAATGTTGTCACGAGAGAGAGAGAGAGAGAGAGAGAGAGAGAGAGAGAGAGAGAGAGAGAGAGAGAGAGAGAGAGAGAGAGAGAGAGAGAGAGAGAGAGAGAAATGTATTAATATACAAGGTGAACATAGCAGTGTCTGCATGCAACCACAGTTACGAATTTCTTGGATCAAACCTGATTACCTTTCATTCCCCAGGCGATGAACCCTACGGGTTTAGCGCTTCACAGTGAATATAATAATTCTAATAATACAATCAGGAAGACAAATATTTGTTTGTTGAGATACCTCTTTAGGGTTTTAACTAGTTAGCTATGTTCTGAATAGATTTTTTTTCCAGTGAGGCAGTGATAAAATTGCCTATATTTTTTAACAGGCCTTCTGTGGGGAACGATTGCCTTGATGCTGATAAAGGGCTCTTGATCTGAGGAGTTAGAGCTACCTTTCCTTGACGTTTTATTGGATAAACCAGACTGTCATGACTGTGGCCCAGCGGACCACTAACACCAATAGTCTAGTTGAACAGATCATGGAAACTTGTCCTCAGGCCGGGCTACGGGGGTAGAAAAAACCCTCGAACCCAGTCCAAGGTATGTCACAGGTACTTGTCTCGGGAAGGAATGACAGGTGGTGGAGGTTATATTCTGTTAGATATATGGTCACCCATATACATGTATGTCGTGATGACATTCTTCACGTTTCCATGAATTTCAGTTTAGTTTTCTAACAAAATATCGATCGCTAAAATGATATTCTTCCCTTGAAACATGCATTCTGCCTCAGTCCTTTCTTTCTCACGCTTTCTTTATTATCCATCTCTCCCTTTCTTCCTTTTAATCTCTTCCCCGTTCTTCTTTTCCATCCTCTCCCTCCTTCTCTTTTTCTTCCTCCTCTCACTTCTCTAATTCCGTCCGTCACATTTTCTTCATTCTTTCCCATCATCCCTCTTTTACTTTAGACTTTACTCAAGTGTAAGTTTTCCTCTTCACACCATAACCTAACTAAGTTTTATTTAGGTACAGGCGCACATTAGTACAATTATCATACATAGTAACATATGTGTAAATTACCTAAGATAACACCCCCAAAAGTAAAGTAACCTATTTCCGTTGGGGTCCGTAACATTTAGTGTTAGTGTTAGCTACCGGTTGTCAAAGGCACTTGTCGATAAACACTTGACCTGTGGTTTTGTGCGTGTGTGTGTGTACTCATCTATTTGTGGTTGTAGGGGTCGATTCACAGATCCTGGACCCGCCTATTCGCTAATCGCTAGGTCCACTGTCTCCATGCCCCACGAGCTTTATCGTACCTATTCTTAAAACTATGTATGGATTCTGCCTCCACTACATCACTCTCCAGATTGTTCCACTTCCTTACAACTCATATGACTGAAGAAATACTTCCTAACGTGTGTGTGTGGGTGTGTGGACGTCTCGTTCTACCTTTCCCTGAGCAACAGTGACGAATTTTCCTTGTTTTCTTCTGGAACGTTTGACCTCATGCCCACCGGGCAATTGATTGGGACGCCATTCAGCCATTGATATACTTCTAGGCCTGGGGAGAGCCTGCTGGTGTTGACTTAGGTTGGGGGGGAGGGAGGGGAGCTGAGTGGTCTCTGACTGTCGAAGTTTCACTTTCTGAAATAAACGTTTCCTTTCTAATTCCAGCCCAGATTTGGGCAACATATTTTTCCCCCGGACTACAGGGAAGTAGGACTCAATAAGCCATAGGGTTTGGTGGCCTTTCCAGCCCCAGCAACATTAATAATATTAACCGTCTGAAGGGAACCTTACGGCAAATTGCATGTATCCTGAAGACATGATGAATAAGACTTGGGTATCTTTATTGCCGAAACGTTTCAAATGTGCAAGACTTCAGACAAATTCAGGTGAATACAACACTGGAGAGAGTAGTAGTACGTTTTGAGTGATAAGTCCTTCACCCTACTTCCGCTGGTCCACTCTCGTTTATGTTATATCTCCAGCTGCTTCACCTCACGTCTGCAGTGTATATAAGATCTGGACGCATGCCTATGTTTTAGACTTGAGGGACTGACCTCCTCCTACCAAGGGTGATGGTCTGATTACATCACTACTAATAATGATTGCAGTTCCCTCTAGTGGCTCTTGATCCAAGGAATAGGACCAGTTCGAATCTGATTGGCTTCCATTCCCTCAGAGGTATGACCCCTATGGGTTTAGCACTTCCTCTTAAATGTCATATAATAATAATAATAATAATAATAATAATAATAATAATAATAATAATAATAATAATAATGTCTCCAGAGAACCTGTTGTGAAAGTGAGACATTTTAACAGTAAAGATACCCAAGTCTTACACATGTGTAATTTTTATCAACTTGTAGGTACAGTATTGTACATATGCCATTAATGATATGAAACAGTATCCTCTGTCCTTCCTCTCTCTCATTATCTCACACTGTACCTCTTTCACTGTACCTTCTCTTCTTCCTTTATATTATTTATAATAATGATATGTGTGGCAGACAGTAATGAGTCACTATTACCTGTCCTCCCACAGGTACCTCCAGTTGAGGACGACTCATAGCTTCATCACAGGCCTGAGTACCTAGGTACTGTATCCTCTTCCCTGGTCTGAGTACCTGTTCACCCTCTTTGTAGATATTTTTTGTCTGTTCTCTTGACATCCTAGTTGGCTTATTAGGTATGCAGCCTATTGATTGCACGAGGGTCTTTATTAAGGCTGTCATATAAACTGAAAGATACATGGCTCTTAGTATATATTAAATGATACACACCCTTAATTTAATATACAGTGGAACCACAGTTTTCATTATTAATTTGTTCCAGAAAGCCTGACGAAAACCGAATTCGACGAAAACTGAAGCAATATATCCCATAAGAAATAATGTAAATCCAGTTAATATGTTCCAGACACCCAAAAGTATTAACAAAAAATACATTTTATAGAGAATAACTATAGCTTTACATACAGAAAACAGTGAGAAATAAATATAAAGGACTAATGAAATGAATAAATGAACATTTAACATCACTTATAACTTTACTGAAAAGACTCGTTGGCTTATGGAAGATGGCAAGGAGGGGAGAGGAAGGAGAGGTTATCTCTACCACCATTACTACCACCCTCTGCTGACGAGAAACTAAGCTAGACTGACTCAGAACGTGTGGGTTGCTTTGTGTGGGCGCTGGCAGACACATTCGGTACAGCAGACCATTGTCAACTCGACGAAAACCCAGGTGATGAACGAAAACCGGGACAAAATTTTGACGAAAAAAGTTATCAAAAACCGAATTTGATGAAAACCAGGGCAAACGAAAACAGAGGTTCCACCATACATTGATGCACACTTCTCGGTGTATATACCCTTTAATGTTGTTCTCAGAAGTGACTTGTTTTTTATTTACTAGTGAGTTTGTTTACCACTATAAGCAGAATGTTCTATGCACTCCAATTAATTTATTTAGACTTGTGTGTGTTTTTTTTTTCAAATAGCCTTTCAGTTCAGTTCCTGTTAATGTGATTGTATTATGCTCTAGCGAGTATTTAATCGCAAAGTTTGCATCTTGATGTTAGCAAGTCTTCCAGATACTGTACTGATTATGTTGAATTGTTGAGGTTGTGATCTTTATGTAGCCTTTCTTTTGGTTTCCAACACAGTGTCTTGATTTTTTCCTATATTTTTCATCCTGTAGAGTAAATAAGTGACACTTGTTTATAAATATAGTGTGGGTGCGGGAGGGAAGAGGAGCGATTGGTGGAATGATGATGTGAAGAGAGTAGTAAGGGAGAAAAAGTTAGCATATGAGAAGTTTTTACAAAGTAGAAGTGATGCAAGGAGGGAAGAGTATATGGAGAAAAAGAGAGAGATTAAGAGAGTGGTGAAGCAATGTAAAAAGAGAGCAAATGAGAGAGTGGGTGAGATGTTATCAACAAATTTTGTTGAAAATAAGAAAAAGTTTTGGAGTGAGATTAACAAGTTAAGAAAGCCTAGAGAACAAATGGATTTGTCAGTTAAAAAATAGGAGTGGAGAGTTAGAGGTATTGGGAAGATGGAGGGAATATTTTGAGGAATTGTTAAATGTTGATGAAGATAGGGAAGCTGTGATTTCGTGTATAGGGCAAGGAGGAACAACAACTTGTAGGAGTGAGGAAGAGCCAGTTATGAGTGTGGGGGAAGTTCGTGAGGCAGTAGGTAAAATGAAAGGGGGTAAGGCAGCCGGGATTGATGGGATAAAGATAGAAATGTTAAAAGCAGGTAGGGATATAGTTTTGGAGTGGTTGGTGCAATTATTTAGTAAATGTATGGAAGAGGGTAAGGTACCTAGGGATTGGCAGAGAGCATGCATAGTTCCTTTGTATAAAGGCAAAGGGGATAAAGAGAGTGCAAAAATTATAGGGGGATAAGTCTGTTGAGTATACCTGGCAAAGTGTATGGTAGAGTTATTATTGAAAGAATTAAGAGTAAGACGGAGAATAGGATAGCAGATGAACAAGGAGGCTTTAGAAAAGGTAGGGGGTGTGTGGACCAGGTGTTTACAGTGAAACATATAAGTGAACAGTATTTAGATAAGGCTAAGAGGTTTTTGTGGCATTTATGGATTTGGAAAAGGCGTATGACAGGGTGGATAGGGGGGCAATGTGGCAGATGTTGCAGGTGTATGGTGTAGGAGGTAGGTTACTGAAAGCAGTGAAGAGTTTTTACGAGGATAGTGAGGCTCAAGTTAGAGTATGTAGGAAAGAGGGAAATTATTTCCCAGTAAAAGTAGGCCTTAGACAAGGATGTGTGATGTCACCGTGGTTGTTTAATATATTTAGATGGGGTTGTAAGAGAAGTAAATGCAAGGGTCTTGGCAAGAGGCGTGGAGTTAAAAGATAAAGAATCACACATAAAGTGGGAGTTGTCACAGTTGCTCTTTGCTGATGACACTGTGCTCTTGGGAGATTTGAAGAGAAGTTGCAGAGATTGGTGGATGAATTTGGTAGGGTGTGCAAAAGAAGAAAATTGAAAGTGAATACAGGAAAGAGTAAGGTTATGAGGATAACAAAAAGATTAGGTGATGAAAGATTGGATATCAGATTGGAGGGAGAGAGTATGGAGGAGGTGATGTATTCAGATATTTGGGAGTGGACGTGTCAGTGGATGGGTCTATGAAAGATGAGGTGAATCATAGAATTGATGAGGGGAAAAGGGTGAGTGGTGCACTTAGGAGTCTGTGGAGACAAAGAACTTTGTCCTTGGAGGCAAAGAGGGGAATGTATGAGAGTATAGTTTTACCAACGCTCTTATATGGGTGTGAAGCATGGGTGATGAATGTTGCAGCGAGGAGAAGGCTGGAGGCAGTGGAGATGTCATGTCTGAGAACAATGTGTGGTGTGAATATAATGCAGAGAATTCGTAGTTTGGAAGTTAGGAGGAGGTGCGGGATTACCAAAACTGTTGTCCAGAGGGCTGAGGAAGGGTTGTTGAGGTGGTTCGGACATGTGGAGAGAATGGAGCGAAACAGAATAATTTCAAGAGTGTATCAGTCTGTAGTGGAAGGAAGGCGGGGTAGGGGTCGGCCTAGGAAAGGTTGGAGGGAGGGGGTAAAGGAGGTTTTGTGTGCGAGGGGCTTGGACTTCCAGCAGGCATGCGTGAGCGTGTTTGGTAGGAGTGAATGGAGACAAATGGTTTTTAATACTTGACATGCTGTTGGAGTGTGAGCAAAGTAACATTTATGAAGGGGTTCAGGGAAACCGGCAGGCCGGACTTGAGTCCTGGAGATGGGAAGTACAGTGCCTGCACTCTGAAGGAGGGGTGTTAATGTTGCAGTTTAAAAACTGTAGTGTAAAGCATCCTTCTGGCAAGACAGTGATGGAGTGAATGATGGTGAAAGTTTTTCTTTTTTGGGCCACCCTGCCTTGGTGGGAATCGGCCAGTGTGATAATAAATAAATAAAATGTATGGTATGTATGTATATTTATTTTTTTTATTAATATATTGGCTGTTTCCCACCAAGATAGGTTACCCAAAAAAGAAGAAACACTTTCATCATTCACTCCATCACTGTCTTACCAGGGGTGCACCTACATTATAGTCAAAAGCTGTAACATATCTCCATGCCTCCTTCAGAACCCAGGCAATATACTTCCCACCTCCAGGACTCAAGTCTGGCAAACCGGTTTCCCTTCATCCCTTAATAAGTGTTACATTGCTCACACTCCAACAACATTTCAAGACATAAAAGCCATTTGTCTTCACTCGCTCCTATCTAACATGCTCACGCACTCCTGCTAGAAGTCTAAGCTCCTCGCACACAAAATCTCCTTTACCCCCTCCCTCTAACCATGTATGTTATAATATTTTACACACACACACACACACACACACACACTCACACATGCACATGCACATGCACACATGCATGTACAACAGGCATAGTGTCTAATCGACATGTGCCTAGGACAAAAATGGTAACCAACACACATGTATGTATGTAAGTGTACATACATAGAGAGTTCATGTACTATTTAAATGAATTGCAGAGTATAGCATGATAATGTACTGTAAAAAAAAAACAATCTCTGCATATCTCTCTCTAAATTTTACTTCTGTTTTTCAGACACATTCTTGTATATAGACGATGAGTGAAGATAAGGACACAGCACATGCCCAAGCCTCTGCTATTCCTCAACATCCTCAGCAGCAGCAGCAACAGCAACAGCAGCAACAGCAACAGCACCATCTCACCCACCAGACCACCACCTTAGTCTCCATGCAGGCTGCAGCCACAGCCCAGCCCATTGTGCAGCAGGCTTCCCCACAGGTCAGTCTCAACATTATGGTCAAACTCAGTCCTAAGACATTCTTTTAGCAGCCTCATTACTTAATGATGTGCGGTAGTTCCATCAGAAATAGTGCCCAGGTATTGCCAACCTCTTGCAGGTAATGTACTGAACTGGTAAGTAATGTGGAATTTTAATTACTTGACTGCTGTGCTGGAATGTGTAACTGTGTGGTGTTTATCATTCATTATTGAAGTGTATGGCATCATAAGGGACTATGTTCAGTGTGACATTTTGAGTTTGGTTCTACTGTGAACACTGATATACACTACTGTAGGCAAGACAATACTTGAGTGGGAATGTAGGTATATTCCATTATTTGTTTAATTACTGCTTCAGAAATATGGGAAAACCTGTAGTTGGGGAAGTCCTCTGCCCCATCATGCTGGATTCATGGTTACCAGCTGTATTTGTAAATGCAGTAGTTAACGATGACCATTAACAGATCTTGTAGAGGGAGCATTGGTGTGGAATATACCAGGTTTGAACAGTCCATCAAAAATCACCTGAAACCATTCCAGATCATCTTCAGGACATTTTTAAAGAGTTATGTTTTGACAATAAACTTGTTAATTAACCAGGAAAACAAGTCATTGATTTGGTTATATATGCTGGGATGATGGTATGAGTAGTAGAAATCTAAACCATAGGCTGAGTGCAGTTGTACTGGAAACATTCTCTATATTCATACCATTAAGAAAAATTAAAGGTGTGTATAAGTTAGAATAAGAATGATGTTTCCTCTAGAGGTGGAGAGAAGATACAGTACATGATGGTTACAGGAAGACACATCTCTTAGTACTGTATTGTAGTGAACCCATTGTAGAAAGATGAAGCTTCTTGGATGAAAAAATGATCTTAGTACTGTATGTACTGTAGTGGGCCCATTTTAGAATGATGAAGGGTTTTGGGCACATTATGATTCTG